ATTACTTATTTTACCTCCATTTTACAACATTTGACAACCTTAACATTTTGTTGCATGTTCTTTCATACATGTTATATATTTTACAAGGAAATATTTTATACTTTGTCTTACCTTTCATCTCCTGAGGGTTTAGCAGATATGTAGTATGAGTTTTTTTATAATCAAAAATTTTGAAATTAAATATATCAAAGTTTTTCCAGTATCAAAGTTAGTTTTTACAGAAACTATAACTTTTTCCTTTTAAAAAAATTGTGTGAAGACCATCCTAAGTCTTCTACGGCCAAATGATATTGTGGTTTGTTTTGAAGTATCCTTTATCTCAAGTTTTCTGTGAGGTGATTGAGTAATGCTTGAAAAATGGTAGTTGATGAATTGATAAAATATTGTTTCCAGGTTTTATGTACATGTCTGTCTTCTGAGAAGGCATCTGCTTTTTTTCCCTTTTATCTCTTAAAAACCAATTTGTTCAGGTGCGGTGGTACATGCCTTTCGTCCCAGCACTCAGAAGGCATAGGCAGGTGGATCTCTGTGAGTTCAAGGCCCACCTCGTCCTCATGGTGAGTGTCAGGCCAACTGGGGCTACAGGGGTCTCTGTACCAAAAAAAATGTTGATGCATAACTCATACATCAATAAATCAGTATTTATTCAATATATTTATTTATCAATTGTTTTTGAGATAAAGCCTCTAAGTGTATCTTGGGTTGTTCTGTAACTCTGAAGCAAGTTTGGCATTGAACTTGTAAGTCATCTACTTCTGACTCCAGAGTGCTGGAAGCACAAGTGTGAGATACCAATTCTGACAAATTCTGAAGGCCTCAGACCTTGTAGAAACTGAAATAATTTCTGAAAATCTCCCATTTGCCCAATTCATCTCTCTTTCCAAATCTCTTATTTGTCTTGTTATGTCATTGTCTCTCACAGTCATTTTCATTTTCCCTCCATCCCTCTTCATAAACACACATATACACATTAAACATTAATATACATAAGCTTATTCATAGAACATGAATGCATACCATATATAGATGCACATGTGTAAAAATTAGATATAAATACAAATACATTTTTATATATTCCACATGTTAGATTTTATTGGGTATTGGGTTAT